TAATTACAAGAAACACAATTTGGGTTTAGAAGAGCCCATGGCACTAGGGACATCATTGCCAATGTCAGATGGGTCTTTGCTGAAAGCAGAAAGTACCAGAGGAATGTCTATCAGTGTTTCATTGACTATGCACAGGCATTTAATTATATGGATCACAACAAATTGTGCCTAACCTTGAGAATAATGGGAAGTCCCAAACACCTGATTGTGTTCATGTGAAATTTATACTTGGGCAAGAGCAAGGAAACACTGCATGGTTCAAAATTGGAACAGGAGTGCATCAGGGATGCATTCTTTCTCCATTCTTTTTCAATCTGTATATGGAACAGAACATTTGGGAGGCTGGGCTTTATGAGGGTAAAGGTTGCAACAGGATTGGATGAAGAGTCATAAACAACCTAAGTTATGCAAACGACACAGTCTTGCTTGCAGAAACTGTGGAGAACTTGAAATGTCTGAAATGTTTGCTGCAAAGGTCAAGGACTGCAGTCTTTAATATGAATTGAAGTTCACCATCAAAAGACAAAGATTCTCACCATTGAGCCAATTAGCAACACCATGATAGATGGAGAAGAGGTCGAAATTGTTAACAATTTCAGTTTGCTTAATTCCACAATCAACACTTTTGGCACCAGCAGTGAGGAAATTAAAAGACAAATTGCACTGGGGAAGCCTGCTGTCAGTGAACTCTCCAGAGTGCTGAAGAGCAATGATGTCAGTCTAGAGACTAAGGTGTGCCTGATTCAGGCAGCTGGATAATGACTAATGATGATAGAAGAAAGATCAATTCCTTTGAATTATAATTCTGGAGAAGAGTATTGAACAAACCATGGACTGCTCATAGAACAAACAGGTTTGACCTTGAGAGGGTGAAACCAAGTTTCTCCCTAGAGGCCAGGATTTTGAAGCTTCAACTGACATACTTTTGGCCTGTTGCCACGAGGGACCAGTCATTGGAGAAGGAAATCATACTTGGAAGGGTAGAGGGATAGAGCAAGAAAGGAAGACCATAGAGGAACTGGACTGACACAGTAACTGCGGTAATAGGGGTATGTGTGTTGAAGACAGTGGGATTGGCTCATCATAAGATGGGGTTCAGAACTGTTGTGTATAGGGTTGCTATGAGTCGCAGGTGACTCCAAAGGCACAGAACAACAACAGCACAACATACTTATACATAAGTATAGACATAGACATACATACATGTTCACATATTCATACTGATTTTTAATTATTTTGTCAAAGTACATCAATCTTAGATGTACAGGCCAATGAACCTCTATATTTGGATACATAATTTACTGAGATAGAAAACATTTTGTCATTGTTATGTACCATCAAATCAGAATCCACTCATAACTGCTTGTCCAGCACGTTTTCTAGGCTGTAAATTACACAGGAGAGTGTGGGCATTTCTCCCATGGATTAGCTGGTGAATTCAAACAACATGCCTCTGAATCCTTACCACTAGGCCACCAGAGCTCCCTTAAGAGAAACTTTAGGGAGAAAGAACCTGAGCATCATTTCGTCATGTGGAGTTTAGGAAGACCATGAGATTTTCAAGTGACATCTCTCCCTTTCATGGGTCTCCACATCTATTCTGGCTCTTGAATTTGAATTCCCATGTAATAGTCTATTTCTTCCACTAGATTTCTGGCTTCATGAAGGTAGAAGCCATCATGAATGTAGGGACAATTACCCTTACTGGCCAGTTTGGCACTAGGCTGAGGCTGATGAATGAGATATTGTTGTTAGGTGTCATCAAGTCAAGTATGACTCATAGCGACCCTATGAACAAAAGATCTGAAACCAGTCCTGTCTTGGGCCATCCTCACTCTTTGTGACACACAAGAGCCCATTGCAGCAGTGACCTTGTCAGTCCACCTGGTTGAGGATCTTCCTCTCGTTCAAATGAGATACCATGTGGAATGTGTCCTGGCCTGCGAAACGTCCAGAGAAGGATAGAGAAGCAGATATCACTTCTTGCCTACACCTTCTTCCAGCTGTGTTCCCAGAACTCATTGTCTCTGTGCTGGCACAGAGTAAATAATAAATTCGTGTGGAATTAAACTGACCTCCCTCTGCAATAGTCTAAATTTAAACTTTGCAGTTCAAGCTTCAGAATGACCTTCACTAGGAGTTTCCCTCTGTGATGTCAAGACAATAATGAAGATTATTATTTCAAAACATGTAGGACAGTGAGGTTATCTGGTTTGAAGGAATCAGAAGTAAATACCACTTCTTGTAGAGGTGGAATAAAAATATTCTATGAAACAAAAGACCTTTCCTGACTTTCTGCAATAATGTCACTTCTTATACTTCTGTTTGACCAACTTACCATCAGTAGCCAAAATTGAAAAGAACCCTAACTTTCTATGAGCAAATTTGAATGTTTGGGGAATAATAAAGACTAAACCCATGAAGTTAAGTTGAGGATTTGGTAGAATGATTACTCTTGACAAATGGTAAGAAACCATGCCATAAAAAATGGACACATCTATTGGATAAACATAAAAAGAATTTGTGTAAAAAAGGAGAGAAAAATAATGTACTTGAAAAATGGATCTTGTAAGTGGTTATGTATGTACAAGTTATAATTATGCTATTATTTGTCCTTAGAGTATTCTGAACACTATGCTTATAAAAAATGTAGAATGCTGTGCCTGCGTGGAATTAAGTAATCCTAACTTGGTTAGCAAGAAAATCCTTCTAGATGCAGGCATTACAAAGAAGAAAGAGTTGCACAGTTTTATACAACATATTCTCAAACTGTGTTTACAATCTGCTCTTCCATTGTCATTCCCCTCCCAACACTCTTTTAGCATGATAGCAGGAATTGTATCTAGATCATACCACGTCTCAGTGCCTGAAAATAAAGAGATGCACAAAAATGTTTCTAGAGTTAATGGATGTATTTTTAATAGATAAGTTTGAAATTACATATGGGAGGTTCAGGTATTTACACCAAGCTTTATTTTTTATTCTCGTCAGTAGCTTTATCTAGAGATTTCACTTTTATGTAGTTATAACTACACACACTCTGACCTGTGTGTACACAATCCGATGCATACACACATACCAAGCTTATTGCCATTGTGTCTATGTTATAGAACCCCATATGCTGTGGGGTAGAACAGCTTCACAGTGCTTTCTTGGCCACGGAAAGCATATTGCCAGGCCTTTCTCCTACAGTATCACTGGGTAGGCTCAAATCACCAACCCTTAGGTTAGTATTAGAAAATAACCTTTTATGCCACCCAGAGAGAGATCTTATACATAAAAGAGTTGTGCTGTCAACCCAATGGCATGTGATTAGACTCTATCAGCTGCTCCTCAGGAGAAAAATGGGCACTCTCCTCCTGTGCAATTAACTGCCTTTGAAAACCCACTGACGATCAACTATGGATAGATTCCAACTCATTGGTTATTGTTGCTATGTGCTGTCAAGTCGCCTGCAACTCATAGCGATCCTATGTACAACAGCTCTGAACTCTGCTCTATGCTGAGTCAACCTTATTGTCTCTGACACACCTACCCTCATTACCCCAGTCACTGAGTCAATCCATCTCATCAAGAGCATTCCTCTCTTGTGCTGTCTCTCCAATGTCCCAAGCCTCTCTCTCCAGGGACTGGTCCCTCCTTGCAACATGCACAAAGTATGTCAGATGAAGTCTCAGAATCCTTGCCTCCAAGGAGCAGCCTGGTTTCACCCTCTCCAGGATGAACCTATTTGTTCTCTTATCACTCTTCTCCAGCATCACAGCTCAAAGACATCAATTCTCCTTTGATCATCCCAAGACATTGTCCAACTTTCTGATACATAGCAAGTAATTGTGAAGACCATGGCCTGGATCAGGCACACCTTAGTCTTTACACTGACATCTTTGCTTTTCAGTACTCTAGAGATGTCCCTAACAGCAAACTTTGCCAATTCAATTTGTGTTTTGATTTCCTGGCTGCTGTTACCAAGATTGTTGATTATGGAGCCAAGCAAACTAAAGCTGTTATCAATCTCAGTCTCTTCACCATCTATCATGATGCTGCCAATCGGTTCAGTGGTGAGAATCTTTGTCTTCTTGATGTTGCGCATCAAACCATATTGAAGGCTGCAGTCCTTGACCTTTTTCAGCATTTGCTTCAGGTCCTCCTCAGTTTCAGCAAGCAAGATTGAGTCATCTGCATAAGTTAGGTTGTTGATGAGTCCTCATGTAATCCTGATGTCACACTCCTCCTCATAGAGCCCCGCCTCCCAGATGATCTGTTTCACATATAGATTGAAAAGGTATGGAGATAGGACACATCCCTGATGTATTGCCTTCCAAATTGTAAATCATATAGTATTTCCTGTCAGAACACTGACAACTGCTTTCCGGTCCAATGGGACACAACAACAAATGCACACATATTCACATATACAAAATAATATACACACATACACATAAATGTACACACACATGTAGATAATGGAACACACATGTACATATACAAATACATACATATATGTTCACACCTATATACTGTCGTTATTGGAACAAACTGATAGCTGATTCTGCAGAGGGTTTTCAGAAACTATAAATCACACAAGAGGAGAGTGTATCTTTCTTCTGTAAAACAACTGGTAAATTCAAACTGCATGCTTTTGGGTGGGCAGCACAACTCCTTATAACTAAGCCGCAGAACTCCCCTCACAGACACAGATATGCACATATATACACATTCACATACATATATCAATACACATGCATGTACATGCGTTCATATATGTACCTATAGTCACACACTTAGCCTCATGTATACTTATACACACATGCACATGTACACACACATTTATATATACATTCATGGACATATATGAATGTACACACATATCTTTAATTAGAAATATGCACACAAATATATATAAACTTACATATGTATGTACACATGTAAAATAGAAAAATGTCCCTGCTCCAAGCGCCACCACCGTGGTCTCTTTGTGGCCTCAGTGAGCAGATCCTTACCTTGAGGAAGGTCAGACAGTCCTGATTCTCACTCTTGTCCCTGTCTCGCAGGTCGAAGTTGTAGAGGGCACGGCAGAGGGGTGGCGGCTGGGGCAGCTGTTTGATGACCTCCACCGAACTCACTGGGAAGATCCCGCTGATGCCATTGATCTCGCCCTGGTACCAGTTCTCGTCCAGCTGTCTCCGGAGGAGGATGACGTCTCCCTTGTTAAACCTCAGGTCGCCAGGGTTTTGCCCTCGGTAGTTGCACAAAGCCTTTGCTCGAGGAACCTGTAATGACACAGACCAGTACAACACACATGTCATTTAGAGGCTAGAGGGGCAATAGATACAACATTAACAACTAATTACTGAGCACTTGGGATATGTTGTGTGTGCATGAGCTCATTTAGTCTATGGAGGCTTTTGAAAGACACACACTTACTATTCCCATTTATCAGATAGGGGAACCGAGGCATATATTGGTTCTGCCGAACCAAGTCTGAAGTGACACAGCTGGAAAATGACCGATGTGGGGTCTGAACTCATACTAGCTGATTCTTGTGTCCTTGTCTTTCATCACAAAGTCACAAGCAGGCTTTGGATCTGGATCCACAACTCTGTGAACTTGAGGGAGTCAGCAATGTTTTCTGGATCTGAATCCTGAGTATGAATTCTGGCTAAGCTTCTTTCCATGTGTGACTATAGTCAAGTTATTTAATTTTTCTTAAGCTTTAATTCTATAATTTATAAAATGAAGCAAGAAAGTAATACTCACTAAGGTTATAGGGAGCTCTGGCTGCTTAGTTATAAGGAGTTGTGCAGCCAACCCAAAGGCACATGGTTCAAATCTACTAGTTGCTCCATGGGAGAATGATATGCAATCTCCTCACATGCCATTTATTACCTCTGAAAACCCATTAGAGGGTCAGCTATAAGTTGGTTCTGACTTGATGGTACATAACAACAACAACAATGCAACAAAGTTTGTTGTGAGGAATAACTTATATTTACAATGTATTTAGCATGTTGCTGGCATACAGTATAAACTTAATAAAGGACAATTTTTATCATCTGCATACATGTTAGTTGCTTTCAAGTTGGCTCCCACTCCTCATAACCTCACATGTGATGGAACAAAAGATTGTTCAATCTTGTGTCATTGTCAAGATCAAGTCCACTGTGGCAGGAACTGTGTATTCTGAACGCTTTTCCACCTACGAGACCAATTTTCCAGCACCAAGCTACTCCTTGGAGGCAAGGATCCTGGGGCTTCGTCTAACATACTTTGGACATGTTGCCAGGAGGGACAGGTCCTTGGAGAGGGACATCATGCTTGGGAGGGTGGAGGGACAGCGCAGGAGGGGAAGACCCTCTATGAGATGGATTGATTCGGTGACTGGGGTAATCGGGATGGGTGTGTCAGAGGCGGTGCGGTTGGCGCAGGATAGAGCAGGGTTTAGGGCTGTTGTGCATAGGGTCGCTATGAGTCGCAAACGACTTGACGGCACATAACAACAACAACAACAACACTGGGTAATATTTTGCTGCCAACCTTGGTTAATTTTTAGTAGATAGTCACACTTTTCTTCCTAGTCTGTCTTAGTCTGGAAGCCCAACAGAAACTTGCCCACCACAGTGACTCTGCTAATAGTTGAGTTACCAGGGCCAAAGCTTCCAGCATCATAACAACATAGAAGCTACTGCAGTATGAAAAACTGACAGATAGGTGGTGGCTTGGAGGTAAGGAGTTGTGTCGCTAACCCGAAAGTAGGTGGTTGAAATTTAGTAGCTGCTCCACGGAAGACAGACAGACAATATCTTCCCGGCAATGTACTGCCTCTGAAAACCCTTTAGAGGGCCAGCCAGGATGCGGTTCAACCTGACAATACATAACAACACCAACATCAAAAACTGGAGGCACAATAGTTAAACACTCAGCCTACAAACAAAAGGTCAATGGTTTAAATCCACCAGTGACTCTGAGGGAGAAAAGGCTTGGAGTCTGCTGCTCCTGTAAGAGTTTCAAAACAGTACTCATAGCCGTGGAGTGAGAACTGCTTCTTTAGCTGACTCCAGAGGTTTTCAGGAGGAGACTGCCCATCTTTCTACCTTGGAGCCACTGGTAGATTCAAACCTCCAGAGAAGGCATGCCTTTGGGTTAGCAGAGCCATTATATGCTGATTATAGCCCGGAACCCTGCAGAGCAGTTCTATTGTCACCAGAGTATTAACCTGATGGGTCAGAATTAACTTGATGGCGCCTTATAACAACAATAGCAACAGCAATAACAATGAGTTCAGTCCTACGTACTCCTCAGGGTTGATATACGTACTCCTCAGGGTTGATAGGAGGAAAACTGAGCTGAAAATTCCCTAAAAAATCAAAAGTGCTAGAGAAGAATAATGCCGCAGTATGTCTGCAGCCTTCTGAGAAAGTGTAAATGTCATAACTCATAACAAAGATATAATTAGTCAGAAATCAATCATCAGTTTAAAAAACTATCTAAAGAATCATCATTTGTCAAATCAGTTGTCTGTCTAAAGAATTGTTTCAGTCAAATGTGTATTTTCCCCCCCAACTGAGACTGGTTTTCTCCATACAGAAATGGCCTCTGGTCTGGTGTGGAGTCTCTTTGGCAAACTGAAAATTTAAATGATGTAGATTTAATAGAAAGTCCTTCAGTGTCACTTGGGATGATATTCTTTTTGTGTGTTTTTTTCAGTGGCGTGAAATAGTCTCCTCTCCGGTGGAGATCTTGGTATTTATAATGGAGTGTGGAGAGACATTAATTCAGCTTACTGAGGACCGTTCACAATGTTCACTTAAAAGAAATTTCAAGCAGCTGAGGGGTAGAGACAAGGCCTGGCCATCAAATCATTAATGGCATGGTGGAGCCGCTGCTTTGGAGTTAATTCTGACTCACACCTACCCTTCAGGACAGAACAGAATGCCCTTTGGGGTTTCCAAGGCTATAACCCTGCAGGACAAGATTGCCTCATTTCTCTTCCTGAGAAAGACCAGTGGATTTGAACTAATCCACCATATCTCAAAATCCCCAAACCCACAGCTGTGCCATTGGTTCAGACACATAGTGACTCCCCTTTGGGTTTCTGAGGTTGTTAATTGACTACAAGAAGAAATTGCCTCTTTCTCTTGTAGAGTGATGGGTGGATTTGAACCACCTTATTTCAGTTAGCAGCCTGACACATTATCCATTGCAGTACCTTCACTGCCATCAAGTTGATACAGACTCTTAAGACACTCCACTGGGTTTTCAATGCTGTGAATATTTGCAGGAGATTGTCCATCTTTCTCCCTTGGAGCAACTGGTGGATTTGAACTGCTGACCTTTTGGTTAATGAGCTAACATCTTATGCACTATGTCTCCACCACCAGAACTTTTTTTATGAGATGGTTGAGCAAAGCTTTCCTGCAGTTCCCTGAGCCCAGTAAAAGGAGCCCAGGGAACTAGCAAAACATAAGAACATAGTACATCATGGGAAACTCATGGACAAATGTAAAGACATCTGTGCTAGGAGGCTTTTCACAGTGCTGTATAGCGAAACGGGGAATTGGTTGAATAAATTAGGAAACATTGCAGTCATTAAAATTGATGATGTTAATCTATAATTTAGAACATTGAGGTTCACTCTCAATATAGTGTCAAATGTACTTAAACCAAAACCCAAATTCACCGATGTCAGACTCATTCCAACTCATGGTGACCAGACTGTAAATTGGTACTGGAGGAGAATGCCCACCTTTCCTTCTTGGAGAAGCTCCTGGAGTCAAATGACTGACCTCTTATTCTATTAGGGCTCTTTGTTGCGTGTAAAAGAAGATGTTAAAAACACTTGTGTAGACTGTAGTGACCGTAATGATGAGCTTGAACCCAAGGGAGATTGGCAGGATGGCACAGAATTGATCCAGATTTCAATCTATTGTACATAAATACCATTGCCGTGACTCAACTCAATGGCACCTAACAGCAGCGACAATGTAGACTCTGCTTTCACTGTAAACATACACATCCATTTTTCTCTTGAGGAAAATGCAAGATAACTATATGTCAACATTTGAAGACTGATTATTTCTGAGTGGTGAGATTTTTGCATATTTAAAAGAATTGTTTTTCCTGAGTGTGTAGATATGTTTTATAGCTTTTCTACAATGTCCTAATTGTATTGGCCATTAAGATGAGACAACAAAATGAAAACACAAGAAGTTGGGAAATGAGTAATGAAAGGAATTTTCTTTAGGAAGAAAATAAACCAAGCTGAGCAAGACATCAGCAGACCATACAAATTATCATTTTGGCTAAGATGTTGCTTAAATAGGCTGACTGAGGAATTACACAAATCATCTACAGTTGGGTAAATTGAGGAATAATAGTTGTATCCTAAATTTTTGAGGGCGCTCTGGTGGCTTGCCGGTAAGAAGCTGTGTTGCAATCCCAAAGGCACGCAGTTCTAATTCACCAGCTACTCTGCAGAAGACGGATGGACAATCTCCTTCCATACAATTTACTGCCTCTGAAAACCCACTGAAGGAGCAGCCATGAGTTGGTTCAGACTCAGTGGCATCCTCTACCACCACCATCAAATTTCTTATCCTCATCTTTCCATTGTAATATAGGCCTCACTGTCCTACATATATATATTTATTTTTTTAGAATATTGGTTATATTGTCCAGTCTTCCTGGCAGCAAAATTCTGGCTAATGAGATATTCTAGAAAGTATCTTTTCTGAGTGAGAATTATTTTCTCTTTCCTTTTCTCTATCCTGCATCATGGGATATAGAAACGATTGCCGGTGCTTTAGCTGCCATCTTGGGCAGATGAGGATGAGGGCTTCACCTAAAGAAAGAAGGAATGAGCCTACGGTGCAGAGCTGCCATACTGGCCACACACTGTGTTACTTTCAGACTTCTGTATGAAAGCTAAAGAAACTTCAATTTTGTCTAATGCAGTGTTACTTGGATTTACGAAAAGAAAAGCTGAAAAGAAAAAGAAACTTAGCACATTTGACTTGGAGTTGTTAATAGGTGTTTCAGAGTCTGTCCCAATTCTTAATGACAGTGCGTGCAACAGAATGAAATGCTGTCTATTCTTACACCATCCTCAGAATCACTGCCTGCTTAATGTCATTGTTGCAATCAATCCATCTAGTTAGGAATCTTCCTTTCTTTTGCTGACCTTCCACTTCAAACATGTTGTCTTTCTCCACAGACTGGATCCTCCTGATAACATGCCTTAAGTACGTGCGATGAAATCCCAAAGTCCTTGCGT